TTGGGATGGTCCTGAGTCTTTACATCCTAATCCCAGACTTCAGCAGCTACAGAAGCAAGCATCTAAGTGGGCAAAAGCATTCAGGGCAAAAACCAGCTTTGGTGTTCCTATATGGCCCAAGGTTTGTGCTTTATCTTTATTTGTGGTCCCTGTAGATTCCTTACTGTGGTACTAGCTCAGCAGTGCTTTTAAAAACATGTATTTGTGTTTTATCTTGCTTTTCAGGTGTTATCAGGAGTGTGTCCTGGTGTCTGCTGTTGAAAATTAGAACAGTTCCCACAGTGTTTGCTTGCAGTTCTCATGTGGCACGGAATGAATTTTCTGTTATTGCTACTTGTGCACTTTGATAGCCCTGTTTTCTTTTCTTTTTTTTTTTTTTTTGAGACAGAGCCTCAAGCTGTCCCCCTGGGTAGAGTGCCGTGGCATTACAGCTCACAGCAACCTCCAACTCCTGGGATCAAGCGAGTCTCTTGCCTTCGCCTCCCAAGTAGCTGGGACCACAGGCACCCGCCACAACGCCCGGCTATTTTTTGGTTGCAGCCGTCATTGTTGTTTTGGCGGGTCCGGGCTGGGGATTCGAACCCGCCACCTTAGGTGTACGTGGCTGGCGCCTTAGCCGGTTGAGCTATAGGCGCTGAGCCGATAGCCCTGTTTTCTTGCCGGTCTTTCTGGTCTTAATTTTTCTGTCATTTTTCCTTAGATGTAAATGTGTGCTGAATTGAACTGAATCTCTATGGCCAAATTTTAATCATAAGTATAATTCACATTTATAGACTAAAATAGCATATTGGGATGTTATTGCAGAGGGTAGGAAACTGGAATATGTTTTAGGTATCTAATTGGATCTTATTAATTTGTGAGACTTAGTAATTGTTGGAATATGAAATATTCTGACTCCAGAATATAATATACTAGACAAGCTTGATTTTACTGAAAATTTTATGTGATAAAAATAAGCATGTTTATAATGTATCTTAATATAATCATTGCCTATTTTTTTGTTTGCTAAATAGGCAAGTAAAACTACTCACCAAATCTGAAAATTTATAATCTTGAAAAGATAGAAGAAAAGAGGAATTATTTCCTATTGTAGAATTTTATGTGACCATAAATAGGCTTTATCTTAATTATTTTGCCAGAGTTTTGTTTTAGGGGTCATATTTTAGTTTGTCATATTCATTTATTTATTTATTTTTAGAGACAGAGTCTCACTTTGTTGCCTTTAATAGGATGCCTTGGCGTCACAGCTCGCAGCAATCTCCACCTCTTGGGCTTAGGCAATTCTCTTGCCTCAGCCTCCCAAGTAGCTGGGACTACAGGCATCTGCCGCAACACCTAGCTATTTTTTTTGTTGCAGTTTGGCCAGGGTCGGGTTCAAACCCGCTGCCCTACTCACTGAGCCACAGGCACTGCCCAAAGTTTGTTATTTTTATTTTCTATTTTTTATTTAATTAAAAGAATTTTTTTAGAGACAGAGTCTCACTTTATTGCCCTCAGTAGGGTGCCATGGCATCACACTGCTCACAGCAGCCTCTAACCCCTTAGAGGGTTTAGGTGATTCTCTGGCCTCAGCCTCCCAAATAGCTGAGACTACAGGCACCCACCACAACGCCCGGCTACTTTTTTGTTGCAGTTTGGCCGGGGTTGGGTTTGAACCCACCACCCTCCGTATATGGGGCTGGCTCTCTACCCACTGAGCCAGAGGCACCACTCAAAGTTTGTCATTTTTAAAGTGACATTATAGCTGGGCACAGTGGCCCATGTTTGTAATTCTACCAGTCTGGGAGGCCAAGGCAGGAGGATCCTTTGAGCTCAAGAGTTCAGAGTAAGCCTAATCAAGAACAAGACCCTGTCTGTACTAAAAAATGAAAAATTAGCCAGGCACAGTGGTTCATGCGTGTGATCTCAGCATTCTGGGAGGCCAAGACAAGTGGATTGCCCTGAGCTCAGAGGTTTGATACCAGCCTGAGCAAGATTGAGACTCCCATCTCTAAAAGTAGCTGAGCATTGTAGTGGGTGATTGTAGTCCCAGCTAGTTAAAAGGCTGAGGCAAGAGAATTTGCTTGAGCCCAAGAATTGGAGGTTGCTGTGATGCCACAGCACTTTACCAAGGGGACAAAGTGAGACTCTGTCACCAAGAAAAGAAAAAAAAAAAAAAAGAAAAATTAGCCAGGTGTGGTGGCAAGCATCTATAGTTCCAGCTACTTGGGAGGCTAAGGCAAAAGGATCACTTGAGTTTGAGTTTGCTGTGAGCTATAACAGTGCCACAGCACTCTAGCCTGGGCAACAGAGTGATACTTTATCTCAAAAAAAATAAGAATATCATTATTATTAAATTACAAGATAGGATACTATTTTGGCTTAATTATTTCTTTTTTAACTTGAAATATACAGATGAATATGTAAAACCATACAGTTTAATAAATTATTGAGGGGACACTCAAATGACTATCACCCAGGTTTAGAATTCCTCTGTATTTTTTTTAATTTGTATTTATTTATTTATTTTGGCCAGGGCTGGGTTTGAACCCATCACCTTCAGCATATGGGGCCGGCACCCTACTACTCCTTTGAGCCACAGGCGCCACCTTTCTCTGTACTATTTTTAAAACAATTCTATCGGCTCGGCGCCTGTAGCTCAACCAGCTAAGGCGCCAGCCACGTACACCTAAGGTGGCGGGTTTGAATCCCCAGCCCGGACCCGCCAAACAACAATGACGGCTGCAACCAAAAAATAGCCGGGCGTTGTGGCGGGTGCCTGTGGTCCCAGCTACTTGGGAGGCGGAGGCAGGAGACTCGCTTGAGCCCAGGAGTTGGAGGTTGCTATGAGCTGTAATGCCATGGCACTCTACCCAGGGGGACAGCTTGAGGCTCTGTCTCAAAAAAAAAAAAAAAAAAAAAAAACAATTCTATCTCATTTATTTTGATTGTAGACAGACCAAAGATAATGAAAGTTTGGTGGAGGCTATGTGAAGTCTTCTTACAAATTACATAGAGAATGAAAGGGTATGTTTGGAGATAGGTGTATAAAAAGTGTAGTGAAATTAGAATAAGGCACAAAAATAAAGAGGCTTGCTCCATATTAGATAAATAGAGTAGGAGTTTCAGTCAAGATCGTTGAACAAATTCTCATTTTCAAGAGTCAAGAATAGGGTGATGCCTGTGGCTCAAAGGAGTAGGGCGCCAGCCCCATATGCCAGAGGTGGCGGGTTCAAACCCGCCTCAGCCAAAACCTGAAAGAAAAAAAAAAAGAGTCAAGAATATACTTGAACACCTTAAAATTTGGCAGAGAGAGAAACTAACTATTGAAAGTTACAACAAGCAGTGCCTGTAGCTCAGTGGCTAGGGCGCCCGCCACATACACCCAGGCTGGTGGGTTCAAACCTGGCCTGGGCCAGCTAAACAACAATGGCGACTGCAACAAAAAAATTGCTGGGCATTGTGGTGGATGCCTGTAGTCCCAGCTGCTTGGGAGGCTAAGAGGCAAGAGAATCACTTTAGCCCTGTGAGCTGTGATGCCATGGCACTTTACCGAGGATGACATAGTGAGACTTTGTCTCAAAAAAAAAGGTTATAAGAGGTGTTAAGGGTTGTGGACAGTAACAAGCAGGTCCTGCGAGTGTGTGGCTCTAGAAAGGCTGTGGAGGTCTAAGGGAGACTGTGCAGCTTCTGTGGAGAGGATGGACGTTCTGGAGCTCTGTTCCTCCTTACTCCTCCCCCTAAGTGGGGTGCCTCTTCCAACAGTGCAGACTTGTTCTGAAGAGTGGAAGCACAGTACGGGTAATACTGTGTGTGCAGCATGGGTTACCCAGAATGGCCAAGAACACAGACTCTGTCTCTGCCTCACACACACTGTCTGTCCTATACTTGCTTTCTTGTTTGTAAAGTGGGAATATAATAACAACTACTTTATTGATGATTCTCAGACTTAAATGGTTCATACATGTAAAGTACTTAGTTTTTAGGGTATCGTTGACAGGGAAGGGGGCACGGCCAGTTGCATTCTTTGAGGCATTCCCTTTTGGTATCTGTTTCACATAATTCTGTCATATGATGCGTCAGATCTTCACATAGGCCACACATAAGGAATTTTTTTTTTTTTTTGAGACAGAGCCTCAAGCTTCCCCCCTGGGTAGAGTGCCAGTGGCATCAAAGCTCACAGCAACCTCCAACTCCTGGGCTCAAGCGAGTCTCCTGCCTCGGCCTTCCAAGTAGCTGGGACCACAGGCACCCGCCACAACGCCCGGCTATTTTTTGATTGCAGCCGTCATTGTTTGGTGGGCCCGGGCTGGATTCAAACCCACCACCATAGGTGTATGTGGCTGGCGCCTTAGCCACTTGAGCCACAGGCGCCGAGCCACATAAGGAATTTTTAATGAAGTATTTGTATTTTAGAATCATTACGTATTTCACTTTCTTGAGACCACATGACAATGAGATGATATTTGTCCTTAGGTATCACTTGCACATTTTTTGTTGTGTATCATTAAGCATTTGACAGCTCCATTTACTCAGCTACACCTACTAAATTGCCATTCCAAAAGGAGGATTGTCATAATGCATATTTGCAAAGATTTGGTTTTTTGGGTTTTTTAATTTAATTTTTTATTAAATCATAGCTGTATACATTGATGAGGTACAATGTGATGATTTGATATACAATGTGGAATGCTTAAATCAACCTGATTAACATAACTATCACCTCAGTTATTTTTTGTGATAAGACATAATTTTCTCTTAGTTATTTTGAAGTGTACCCTTGCATTGTACATGTTAGGCAAGATCCCACCATATGCCCTCTCTCCTCCCACCAAAGGTTTGTTTAAAGTTGAATCTCTTCTAAATATAATATCAGGTGTTTATACATTAGAAAAACTGTTATTTATACTTAATAAAAACATTAAACAATAAAGATGTTAACAGGAAAAGTTCTTATCAGAAGATAAACTAATTTGGATTCTCCTAATTTCTAGGGAACCTATCTAAAATATTGATGTATATGAGTTTTGACACTAAAGAAAGACAATTATGCAGGTGAACGTACATTCCAATGCGAGTGTTTCTGTTCTCTGTAGGTTGGGAATCCACGTGTTGAACTCACCCTGTCAGAACTCCAAGATATGGCAGCTAGGCAGCAGCAACAAATTGAAAATCAGCAACAGATGTTGGTTGCCAAGGTAAGCTCTCAAAGGAGAGGTAGAGAAACATTGTTCAAAGATATCTTCTTCAACTATCATTTTAGATCTCTGTTAACACACTCACGGTGACACCTATAAAATAGGACCATGCCATGGGAGTGCTGAACACATTGTTCTCTTTATTCAATACATCCTCAGTGTATACTCTCGCTTCTGGAAACTGAGGCGATATCAGAGCAAGAACATCTGACTCCTGACAAGCACAACAAATGTCCCAGAAAAGGAAATGGCTGACATTATCCAAATCATAGGCAAAATTTGGAAAGAGAGGATGCTTTCTGTTACCTCCTTTTCCCTCTGATGTGTTCTCAGCTGTGTAGTTGGTAATAGCATTTAGAGCAGTAGTTCTCAACCTGTGGGTTGTGACCCACAGGAACTATATTAAAGGCCGTGGCATTAGGAAGCTTGAGAACCACTGGTTTAAAGGAACCAGCAATCCAACATGAAAATGTTGGTCGAGGGCCCTCAGGGCAATGACAGTTAACAGGGCTTCTGATGTGCCCTCCATGCTGAACTTACTTGGTGTATTACAGTGCAGGGCATAGATAATGCTCATTATATACGCTGTTTGACATTTGCTATTGAAACTCTGTAAAGTATAATTGGGGATTTTTCTAAATGGTTTAGTCATATTTGATTGAAAAATCAGACCTATTACCCATGCTTGCTGGAAATGATTCATATTGTAAATTGTCTTAAAATGTTCTGAAACTGCTTTAAAGAGAATCTTTAAACATTACCAGCTAGGTTCTTATTGGTTTCTTTTGTAGAGAGATTTCCTTAATAATCAAATGTCTAATCCAGTTTTGTTATTTATTGAATGACTATATAGTTCATTGTACTATCTTCTGTCACATAAATAATTTAAATTGGACTTGTAAAAAGTTTATTGGATTTACAAAAATAAAAATTATGAAAAGTTAAGTTAATTAGGAAGCATTTATCCCATTAATAAGATTTCTAAGATGAAATATCCATAATATTATATAATTATAAAATTTTCTGATTCTGCTTTTTTTCCAAAGAATATTAACTATTAAAAAACATTTTGATAGATATTTTCAGCAATGTAAATCACAAGTTAATGCTAAATCTTAATTATTTAAGCACATATTTCCTTACATTAGAATGTAGTATGTAATGCCTGCATAATCATACCTTAAACCTCTCCTTATTTAGGTATATTTTATGCATACATATTGGACCATGAATATTTAATGTTGACTGTTATCCTTAAGGTATGTTATTACATTATAGGAAAAAAAACTGTTGAAGAGTTTTGCGTATATTCTTATTTTTGAATTGTTTGAATTATTTTTATTTATTGTTTGACCATAAAATGTTTCATTATTTTTAAAGAAACTAATCCTGAAGAAAGGAAACACTTTTAATTGTTCAGTAACCTTTAGCAAATGGAGGTTTATCTCCTAACTGACCACTTTATCTCTTTTCAGTGTAAAATCCTCTGCTGGTCATTTCTTATTTCCTTTAGGAAGTTAAATAAGAGATTCTTGGAAGCCACTTTGTAGCAGCAGGAAACGTGTTACTGACAGCAGGAACCTCAGGGTAGCTGGGACTCACAGCTGTGAGAGTGAAGATGGGGTTGTGTCAGTGCATGTCCTCGTAGTGTAAGGCTTTCTGCAGAAGCTCTTACATTAACTGAATGGTATAGACCAGTGTGCATAGTAAAATTCTCTTTTAAAAATCTCCCAACTTTACCATCTCATATATGTCCAGTAATTTCAGTTTTGTGTGGTCTGATACATGCAAGATTCCTTGTTTCTTTAGTATTTGTTAAGATTGATGATACTATGGAATACATTCAGATTTCTCTTTTTAGTGTGTAAAAGTAATCAGAAGTTTTGATTTTCAGTGTTTGGTTTTTCCTTCTTTTGTTAGGAACAGCGTTTACATTTTCTAAAGCAACAGGAGCGCCGTCAGCAGCAATCTATTTCTGAAAACGAAAAGCTTCAGAAATTGAAAGAACGAGTTGAAGCCCAGGAAAACAAACTGAAGAAAATCCGTGCCATGAGAGGACAAGTTGACTACAGCAAAATCATGAATGGCAACCTGTGTACGTGTCCATGGTCCCTGGCACTCACTCTGACCAGACCCAGACCAAGTGAAACATAGTCCAGTTTCGTCTTACTATAGCAACTATGCTAAATAAAGCTTTGCTTTGTACCTGCAACTGAAAAAAAGAGTTTGTTAGGTTAAGCAGTTGAAAGATCTCTTGAAGTCTTCTGCAGTGGGGGCAGGTGCTCCCAAGCTCACTCATTACAAGGGTCTGCTTTCCTGAACTACTTAAATAGTATCTGTGCATTAAGATGAGCCATACAGATGCTCCCTTTTATTTCTGCGTGGACTCCAATTTTATTCATCAGTTCAGCCTGTGTCACAGTGAGGTATGTAGGTCATTACAAAAGTTTTGAGATTCACAAAAAATCAAGAAATGTAAAATCCTGCAGATGAAAGCAAATGAAGTCCTTAGCAACCCTGATAAGCTGAGCAAGTTGAAACTTGCAGGGGTAAATCATAAAGGACACTGTTGACTCTGTTTCTTAGAGGTGAAATAGCAGACCATAACACAGTCTGTCTCAAAACTTTTGTTGTGACCCACCACAAGGCCAGTATGGCTAACTCTTCACAAAGCCTTTCTGTGGGTGTATTAGGTTGTAAAGTGGCTTGACCAAGCTGGTGTTCAGACTGATTGCCCTAAAGAATGTTCAGCATTACACAAATACGGTCATTGGCTCTGTGTGCAATCAATCATGGGTCTGGGGTTATGTGTATCATAATTTGTTCACGGTCTGGCAGTAGACAATACTAGAGTTGAGTTCAATGTATAGAAGTGAAAACGAATAGCAACTAAATGATGTTTTTCTTTTCTGATTCACAATTACAGCTGCTGAAATAGAGCGGTTCAGTGCCATGTTCCAGGAGAAGAAGCAGGAAGTTCAGACTGCAATTTTGAGAGTGGATCAGCTGAGTCAGCAGTTGGAAGATTTAAAGAAAGGAAAACTGAATGGGTTCCAGTCTTACAATGGCAAGTTGACAGGACCAGCAGCCGTGGAACTAAAAAGACTATACCAAGAGCTACAGGTAATTCATTTGCATCTGGGGACTGGTAACATTAAAACATCCTTGTCTTTTGGGCTTTCACCTTAGTATAGTTTCAAATCTCAGAAACGGTAAACAAATTAACGAATTCTAATTTAATAGCAAATGATTCTCCCACTTCAAAATATATTCAGTATATTTAAAAATAAGAATTTTTTAATGGCTTTACTGAGATATTCATATATCATGCAATTCATTGACATGAAGTATACAATCCAATGGCTGTTAGTATTTTCCAAGTGTGGTAGTGTCCACCACCACAATCAGTTTCAGACATTTTCATTTCAGACATTTTCCTCCATACAGAAGCCCTTCACTTCTTAGCCATCACCCCTACAGTTCCCTATTGTCCCCCAGAGCCTACACGAATACCCTTTCAGATGTGAAATTGCCCATGCTCGATATTTCATGTAAATAGAATCATATTGTACAGGTTGAGCATCCTTAATTTTTGAAAATCTAAATCTTTCATACTCTGAAATTTATTGAGTGCCAACATGATACCCAAAGGAAATGCTCATTGGAGCATTCAGGATTAGGCAGGATGTTTACCCAGTAGATATGATATAAATACTCCCCAAATCCAAATCACTTCTGATCCCACACATTTCAGAAGAGCTACTCAACTTGTATGTGGTCCTCTGACTAGCTGTTTTTACTCCGCACATTTTTATTTTTTTTTATCATTTTTTTAGAGACAGAGTCTCACTTTGTCACCCTTGGTAGAGTGCCATGATGTCACAGCTCACAGCAACCTCCAGCTCTTGGGCTTAGGCGGTTCTCTTGCCTCAGCCTCCCGCGTAGCTGGGACTACAGACACCCACCACAACACCCAGCTATTTTTTTGTTCTAGTTTGGCCAGGGCTGGGTTTGAATCCACCACTCTCGGTATATGGGGCCAGTGCCCTACCCACTGAGCCACAGGTGCCACCCACTCCACACATGGAAGAATTTAAGTGGCAAAGTGATAAACTATTAAGGAATTAATCTTTACATGATGTTTGAGTCCTCTATATAAACCATACTCCCCAAACCCCAAATCCTAACATTCTGGGAGACTGAAGTGAGTAGGTTGCCTGAGCCCCAGAGTTCAAAAACAGCCTAAGCAAGAGCAAGATCCCATCTCTACTAAAAAATAGAAAACTAGCCAAGTGTTGCAGGCACCTACTACTCAGGGGACTGAGACAAGAAGATCACTTGAGCCTAGGAGTTTGAGGTTGCTGTGAGCTACGATGCCTCGGCACCCTACCCAGAAGTGACAGACTGAGACTCTGTCTCAAAAAAAAAAAAAAAAAAGGACACTAGCCCTATGATGGGAGCAAGGCCTCCACCCTCATTCCTTCATCTAGACCTCTTAATAAGTATCTTTGGGCTCTGCACCTGTGGCTCAAGCGGCTAAGGCGCCAGCCACATACACCTAAGGTGGCGGGTTTGAATCCAGCCCAGGCCCGCCAAACAACAATGACAGCTGCAACCAAAAAAATAGCCGGGCGTTGTGGCAGACTCCTGTGGTCCCAGCTACTTGGGAGGCTAAGGCAGTAGACTCGCTTGAGCCCAGGAGTGGAGGTTGCTGTGAGCTGCAATGCCACAGCACTCTACCCAGGGGGATAGCTTGAGGCTCTGTCTCAAAAAAAAAAAAGTATCTTTGAAGGGCCTCTCCTCTAAATACTATCACACTGAGGGTAGGGCTTCAAAGTATGAATTTTGAGGATATACAAACATTCCATCCATAACAATTCACAAGATTTCCATTTGTGAGAAGTTGTTGTTTTGTTTTTTTTGTTTTTTTGAGGCAGAATCTCACTTTGTTACCCAGGGTAGAGTGGTCTGGAGTTACAGCTGTCAGCATCCTCAGTCTCTTGGGCTCAAGTGATTCTCTTGCCTTAGCCTCCCAAGTAGCTGGGACTACAGGCGCCTAATACAATACCCAGCTATTTTAGAGACAGGATTTCGTTCTTACTTAGCCTGGTCTTGAATTCCTAAGCTCAGGCAATCCATCCACCTCAGCCTCCCAAAGTGCTAGGACTATAAGTGTGAGCCACCAGGCCCAGCCCTCTCAGAAGTTTTCTTTAAATAAATAATTCTTCAAGCCAGAAACAAGTTTTGCTATTTTATTTTATTTTAGAGACAGAGTCTCACTTGGTCGCCCTTGGTAGAGTGCCAGGGCATCACAGCTTACAGTAACCTCCAGCTCTTGGGCTTACACGATTCTCTTGCTTCTGCCTCCTGCGTAGCTGGGACTATAGGTGCCCACCACAATACCCAACTATTTTTTTGTTGTTGTTGCAGTTTGGCTGAGGCCAGGTTCAAATCCCCCACCCTCAGTATATGGTGCCAGTGCTCTACTCACTGAGCCACAGGTGCCGCCCTATTTTGTTTTAATTTTTTAAGAGACAGGATCTCTCTGTCACCCAGTGCAATGATATAATCATAGGTCACCATAACCTCAGATCCTGGGCTCAAGCATTCTTCCTGCCTTAGCCTCCCAGGTAGTTAGGCACCACCATACCTAACTAATTTTTTTGTTTTTTGTAGAGATTGGATCTTGTTACATCGCTCAGGTTGTTCTCAAACTCTTAGCCTTAGCTCGGTGCCTGTTGCACAGTGGTTATGGCACCAACCAAGTACACTGAGGGTGGTAGGTTCAAACTAGGCACAGGCCAGCTAAACAACAATGACAACAACAACAACAACAAAATAGCAGGCACCTTTGAGGCAGACGCAGGAGAATCACTTAAGCCCAAAAGTTTGAGGTTGCTGTGAGCTGTGGCACTACAGCACTCTACCGAGGGTGACATAGTAAGACTCTGTCTCAAAAAAAAAAAACACTCTTGACCTCAATTGATCCTCCCATCTTAGCCTGCCAAAGTTCTGAGATTACAGGTGTGAGCTATCATACCAAGCCCATGTTTTGCAATTTTATTTGTATTTGCTAGAAAAAGCATTATATCATTTTGTGAAATGCATAGAGATAATAAAACATTATAAGAATTTTTTTAGGTTCGGCGCCTGTGGCTCAAGCGGCTAAGGCGCCAGCCACATTGTTGTGGTGGGCTCCTGTGGTCCCAGCTACTTGGGAGGCTGAGGCAGGAGACTCTCTTGAGCCCAGGAGTTGGAGGTTGCTGTGAGCAGTGAAGCCATAGCACTCTACC